TGCTTACATCTGTGTGAAATTATTTATTTATCTTTCCTCAAATCATTCATTATTTCTCCTTTTTATGTAATTATTATTATTTTATTTTTTATCTCTTCCTCGATTTTTTCAAACCAAAAAAATTAATTTTCCTCTCTCCTCCCCACACCTTCTTTCTCTCTCTAAAGTAGGTCTCTCTTTCTTACACCCTCACCTCTTTCTATCTCTTCTGCATATAACAGAAAATAATAGAAAATAGGAAAAATAATAGAGGAGAAATTTACATATAACAGAAGACACGCAAGTACGATCATTGAGAGATGCTTCAGACAATTATTCAAACAGTACCTCTTTGATTTTTTCATTCCACCAATCAAAAAGCAAATAAATAAGTAAAATAATTTAAATATTTGTTATGAATCTTTTGTTTTTTTTTTAATTTTTCTATAAATCGACGATGAATTATGCCCAAGTTTTGATACTTATATTGACATATTGTTAAGAATTATATATTATTTGACCAATCTTTGCCTTGGGGGTAAACTTTAGTCTGAAGGCTTAATATGTTGTATAATAAATACTCTCAGGCCAAGTTTTTAATTGTTTTAAAATATGGGCCTTTCAATTGTATGGCTATTTTACCAAGTATTGGTTATTATAATCGATTGTTTAAGTTACTTTTTACTGGACTCTCTTTTTTTCTTTCTTCCATTGCACGCAGAAGCATCTAACTCCACATGCAAGCCTGAAAGTTTGCTTGTCTCAAATAATTCAAGCTGAAACTTCTATGGAAACCGTCTCGCAATCCACGCAAAATCCTGCTAATGATATTTAACTCAAAAGCTACAGAATTCAAGTGGTCATTAAAATGTTGAACTGCACTGTTAAAACTGTTTGATTCGAATCCAAGGAAAACTGATGCCGATGTTGAGCTACAGTCTTTCAGAATGGTCAGTAACACAACAGCAATTGTTTAAGTACCAAATTCTCAAATAAAAAAAGACCTCAAAATTCGAACCGGGATTTTCTAGTTCAATTCCTAGACTTCTTTTTCGAAGACTTCGATGAAGGCTTCGATTGCTCAGAGCCAGTGTTTTGATTGGTCCCTTTTGAAGTCGTTGCTTGGTTAGATTTTGAATTTGCATTGCTGGAACTGCCTCCAGCAGCACCAGTTTCATGTTTGTCTCTAACCACTGCACCTTGGGAGCCTCTCACCTGGGCAGCTCTCTTATCTTTTCGCTTGGGTCTATAGCTTGATCTCTCTCTCCTAGGAAGCCACCTTTCTGGATCTGGGGGAGGACCTGGATTTGCAGGATCAAATCCTTTAGGATATCTTGGCTTTCTCTTTCTCTTTTTCTTTGATTTGGCCTTGTTTTTCTCTACCATGTATGCATCAGATGCTCCAAGATCAGCACCACTCTCGACATGTTTGGCTCCTGAAGTTCGCTCCAGATTCTCCACATCAACCTCCTTCAAGCCTGGTAATGGCTTCAACTGCTTCTCATAAGTTTCTGCCTTCTTAATATCCACACGGGCAACTGTCTTGACCAATCCAGCCAATGCTTCTATGCTTCCATGGCTTTTAACCAGCTCCTCGTATAATTTGGCAGCATCTCCTTCACGCCCATGCCTAAGCTTGAAGGAAGCTGCTTCCTGCAATACTACATCAAGCTTGCTGTCTTCAGTCATGGCATTTGACCACCATTTGACTGCAGAATCAAGCACAGCAATAGCTCCATCAACATCTCCTGCACGTTCTTTTAGAGACACAAGTGTAGCAACGGTGGCAGGCATGTGTTGAATATCAGGTATCCTAGAAAGGGACTCAAATGCAACATGAGGATGGCCAGCAGCAGCAGCAACCTGCGCCTTCGCTAGGAGAACCAACTTGGACTTGTCTGGAAAATTTTCAGCAAACTGGCCCAGAATTTCTTCAGCTTTCCCAGCCTTATTCTCTCTAACTAATACGGCCGCTTGAAGCAATACAGGGGTCACACTATTTGGAAACATATCTGCCAGAGTAGCAACCATTTCTCGAGCCTGGAGCACAGAAAAGAGGTCTTTCAAGCAGATGCAAGCCACAAGATTTCTACACTACTGAATAATTAATAAGCTGTTACAAGAAAACTTCTATCCCTACCAATTAATGCTTCATTTTAGAGGTGTATGGATGCGTAGAAATGCAGAAGGGTACTGTATAAAGTATTATAAAGACAGTGCAGGATGACCTGATCCATCTTATTTGCATGGAGAAGGAGAAGGAGACGATTTGCATATATTGATTCCCTTTGTTTTTGAGAAATCTTTGGTTCAAGTCCACGAGCAAGCCGGAAGTTCGGTGCATCTTTCTCTTTTAGCTTATCAAGTTTTCTAAGGCCATCAGAAATATCTTTTGGACCTCTCAATGCTATAAGATTGTTCACTGCCACTGCAAGCGAAGATTCATCTGCCAAATCTCGATTTATGATGTCTGTGTAAGCTTCAAGGGCTTCAGACGTATGACCAAGAAGCTGATTAAAAGATAAATTGGGATTACATGATTGAATACCTCTAGTGCTTAAACAAAAGTAAAAATATTCATTTATCAATGAGGTTACCTGCTGCAAGTATGCTAGTTGGACAGCTATTGGGGCTAGCTCAATATCGATATCTTCATCAGGCAAATTCTCTTCCATGAGTGTTTCTTGACCAATTCTGATAAAAGCACGCAAAGTGATACCACCTAGACGTCAGTTTAAGGAAAACTGGTCCTAAGGCCAAATGGAGAACTTTAAGTAAAACAGAGATACACTCCCCGTTTAAAAATGTTCTTACTAACAAGTAACAGTGTCATACACATTTGAAAATTGATACTCTATACTCAGCCAATTGTCTGCCATGCTACCATTGAGTACCAAAAACTAGAAACTCGCTATTTTTATTAACTTATATATGTGTAAACATATTACCTTCGAGCTGACAGTAACAGTTGTTCTGCATCTGTATACTTGTTCCTGTCAACTAAAGAACATGCAGTATTGTATGCCAACTCGAAGCTGCTGGTAGCTTTCACCCTAAGATCCTCCATGGCTCTTTGTACTTCAGAAGCCCGTCCAGCTGCAGTTAAAGCTGCAACATAATTTATTTCTAAAGAATCAATCTTTGACTTTGCTAGCTTCTGATAAGTGTCCACACAAGCATCCATTTTTCCTAAACGATACAGGATCTGGGATTCCAGTAGCAACGTTGTTGAGTTTCTCTCTTGGTCTTTCAAGGAATCCAAAGCTTCATCCAACTTATTCTGTCTGTATAGGCAGTATGCCTATTTAAAAAATTATAAAAAGAAATGTATACAGTGCAAAATGTGTTAGTTGGTTGTGATTGAGGGGCACCAAATACAATTATATCACTGCATGAATCTGGGGAAGGAAGACAAAAGGAAAGCAACCAGAGTAAGGACAAAAATACGAACAAAAACAGAGATTGCAAGAGATATTATCTTAACATCTTCATCATGTATACTAGTGAGTTCGTTTGAAGTTTACATCAAACAAACAACTGCAACGTATAATAATGTAGCAAGCAGCAGAGCAGACGAGACACAATTAAAAGAAGACCAATAAATTCACCCACCCTAAGATGCTCGATTCATTCATTTTAATAGCCAAGGAAAATGAGTGACTAGAAATGGTCAAATTCCTTCTACCTTGAAGAAGCTGAAGTCGGGAGCAATCGTCTGGGAAGATTGAATTGCAGAAAGAGCATCATCGATTCTGTCATCCTTGATCAAGGCCACGATTTTGCATCGGAGCGCGTCCTCGTCACCGGGAGTAATAGAGAGAACTATGAGATATAATTGAACACATGTAAGGTACATGAACAGGAAACAAAAAGAGAAGCGAATAGAATATAATGTTAGATAGAAGAAGACTAACTTTGATCCGCGACTTTGACGGCTTGAGAGAATTCAGATCGCTGGATGTGTCTGTTCAGGGAAGTGAATTGATCTTCGATGGGCGGAGGCGGCTGAGAAGACGGAGATGGCTTCGGCTTGTCTTTGGGTTTCGGAGCCATTTTCTCTCGCGTTTTCTCGCTTGCCAAACAGACGGAAAGATTAGGGAATTGGTAGATCCAGTTATAACTCCAACAACTCCATCAGCAGCCGCGCAGGTCCATTACCTGAGAATCGGAACGGACAAATCTGATTCCTTTGCCGGGATATATCTTCGCGCCACTGAATCGACAAAGCTCAGTCCTACAAAAACCAGAATTGTATTATAGCATGAAACAATAACCGAATTACGTTTATCTAGCACCACTAGTTTTCACATTCTCACAGAAGAAGCCTTCACTTCTTCAAACCCATCAATTATAATGAGAACTACTGACCTGCATATCAAATTCACCTAAACAGAACCCTATTCCGCCATTTTACGTAGTATCATCGACTGAAAGATAATTGGAAGGAATGAAAATAACAGAATGAAATCAATTCAACAGGTTACTCCTCCGTTTCTTCGTGGTCGCCGAAAACCTAGAATCGAAGTATGTCGACGGAACGATAACTTGAGTTTGAGATGCATTTGATTACCCCTTTATTATTATTTAATCACTAGAATGCCACTGGGCCTTTTGCAAGGTGTGGGCCAAGAGATAGGCCCGGTTCCTTTTTAACGAGTCTGAGCCTTGGCCCGTTAGGATTACAAATTTTATTTTATTAGCATTTAAAAATTTAAATTTTTAGATTTTATGTATGTACATATATGTACACAATCTATTGTACTAAAAAAAAATAAAGGAAAGAAAATGATATTTAATAAAGTTTTAGCTACGAATTGCTTCTTCCCAAATTGACCAATATAACCCAAAAAGTTTTATGTTATTTACAAGTTACCCAAAATCACATATTTTACTTTTTTTTCACCCAATTTATTATTTTGAATAAAATATAGTAAAGTGCATTTACAATTTTACCCCATTTTAAAAGTAACAGTTAGAAATCTTTTCCCCGTTCTTCTTCCTTATACTTGGTTCAACTTGACCGAGATTTTGAGAGTTACAATTTTTTCTTTCTTCCTCTTCATCTTCTTCTTTTTTATCTCAACTTGGTGCATGTGATTTGAACGTCGGATTTCTGAAACTCATCTAAAATTTGAATCTCACAATCAAAGGTCAGTGTTCTATCTTACATTTTTTCAACCGATATTCCTTAGAACTTTGGATTCTCCAGCGATAAACAGTGGTAGTTTCTGACCGTTAGGCTGGGGTAGTTTTTTACTTTTGCGACTTTATGTTGAGTAGAAACTAGGTCAGGTGTTCGACAATTTCTGTATGTCTTGGTTCTTATAAGCTGTTAAAAAAAACAAACAAACAAATAGTAGTTTGTGGATTTTAAATGGGACGAAGTTAAAATTTGGGTTTTCTTTGAATCTCAGTCGAGTTTGTATGAATCCCAATCGATTTGCTTAATATGTTTTGAAAAGATCATGGGCCAAAACTTGAAGAAATTGTCACAGGATTTCAGTTTAGGGTTCAATTTAATTTAGGGAAATTTAAAATTAGTGTTCAATTGAGACAGTATATATATAGTTGACTTCAAGTTAGGATGCAATTTATAGTTGATTTGAGTTTTAAGGTTAAGATATAGTAAATTTTGAAGATTGGGGAAGTTTTCTTTATGCTTCCCATGAGAGCTTGTGCTCGAGATATTTTACAGCGAGCTTGAAACTTGAGTAAACTCACTCCAATTTTGAAGAAATTTGAAGAATTTGAAAAGTTTCTCAATGCATCTCAAGGGAGTTCATCCTCGGGATTTTATCTAGCGACTTACAACTTGAGGAAACTTCCCCAAGCTTTAAAACTCGAGGAAGTTTGCTCAAGTTTTAAAGTTCACTGGAAAAAATCTTGGTCATGAACTCCCTCAAGATAGCTCGAGAATACGCTGTAATGTTCAAAATTTCCTAAAAACTCGAGGAAGTTCGCTCTAGTTTAAGCTCATTGGAAAAAATCTCAGCACGAACTCCCTCGAGATGCCTCGAGAAAATTTTCAAATTCTTCAAATTTAACCTTCGTTTCATCCGAAAGCTATGTCTCAAATTCACTTATTATTTAGTCTGATTTATTTGTTAGTATGTTCCACTTAATTGAGTTTTCTTTAGTTATTGTATGCTAAACTTGATGAACTTATAAAATGTACTATTGTCATCCTATTTTTATATGTTTCATTGTCTCTGAGTCGGTATGTTTTATCTATTTGTAGGATATGGAGATGGTACCAGTTATATCGTTAAAGTGCGAGGTTATTTTGGTTAGGCTGAGTCTACCACTTATACCATGGCGCATCTCAGCACCACACCAGGAGGAAGATGGAGATTGTGGTATTTTCCGTATTAAGTTTTTTGAGTAGATGTAAGAGTTTGGATATGAGTACTCTTAATTCAGGATATGATGTCATTCTATTTGCAGTCAAAATATTGGCCAACATGCTAGTTTTTTTTATTATCAAACTTCACTCGGTTGTTTTTGGAATTTTTTTTATTATTAGTTTTTCATTACTTCAGGTCTCCATACTTCGAACTTGGCAGTTTTGTCTTTTCACCGTTTCTAATGTGTCAAAAAAAATTTTTTTAGATCAAAAAGGTGAAATTTCTGATTTTTGGTCATTTGAGCAAAACCTAAAACTTTTTAGGTTACATGATCAATTTCTCGTACTCGCAGCTCCGACAAGCAGGAGAGGGACGAAGAAACTCGATCGGCTACGTTAGACGAGCAAGAGCCAGGGACGTACTTGACGAGCAGACGAGGGACAAGTGGTAGAAGCCGACAAAGAGTAGTGATAGTAACGGTTCAATGAAGTCAAGTCTATTAGGGACTCCCTGACGATCCCGAACCTTCCAAAAGTGATGGGTATGTTTTATGATATGTTGTCTTTGCCACTGCGTTTATAATGGGCGTATAGACCAGCTGAGGCCCAAACTCTCAATCTCTAGGCCCATTCGTCGATGCCTAAGATACAACCTTGGGCCGATCTAGCTAACCTGGGCATGGTATAGATGGGCTTTAGCCTTTTTTTCTTTTTTGTAGAAAGAACTTTTCGCCCTTTTCCAATTTTTGTTACTTGTAATATATTTTAATTTGATTATTTTCTATGTGACATTTTAATTTCATTATTAACAGTTAATTTAAATTATGATGAATAATTTTTATAAAGTTCCATTTAAGTCGTTTGAAAAAAAAAAACTCCACTTAAGTAATTGAATTATCAGAATACGAAAACATTATTAGTTATAAACATACCTAATTTCTACTTGAGTAATAATTTTACAACATGAGAATAGTTTAACTAGTTAGAGTATTTATCAACTAACAAAAATTTAGTAGTATAATTTTCGAATAAGGAGCAATTTGACAATTAAGAGAGAGATGAAAAGCAAAAATTTATTTTAAAATATAAGGAATTGTCAAATATTTAATGGTGGTAAAAATCAGGTTGCTCCTATCCATAATTTTCAAGTATCACCACATGTATGAATAATTGCTACCAAGTGTCACAAATGAGTTTAATTATAATTTATAAGGAAAAGAGGTCTTTATTTTTTAATACTATTTTGTTCCGGATACTTTTGATTTTGATTCATTTTGGTTCTATGTAACTTTAAAACATCAATTTTAGTCCTTATACTTTCACCTTGTTCATCTCTTTCGATTCATGTACTTTAAAAGTGATCATTTTTATCCCTTTGTTTATATTTTAAATCTTTTTTTAATCGTAATGTTACGACGACACTTCGCTCACTAAATTTTATTAAATAAAATTACTATGATTAAAATTAATTTGGAAGTACAACTATTAAAATGAACGAGCTTAAAATTTGAAGAACCCTAAGTAGAAGCAATATCTGGTTTTTTATATTCCAAGATCTGTTTAATCAAAAGCGAAACATTGTGATGAGAGGATCCTCCTTCCACCACAGCGCTTTTCGCCTTCTCTGCAAGCTCTTTCACTCTCCTTCTTCTATCTTTCGGCTCTTCATTTTCTTCGTCCATTAATTTATCTATGGCGGCTTTAACATCTTCCTTCTTCACCTGAACCCCGTGCTTCTCTTCTTCCCCTTCATTCACAGGGTACTTCGCCCCAGCACTGACTCCGATCTTCAGTACTCGAAGAACCAGCTGCTCGTTTATGAACTGGTCCGAAAACAATGGCCAACTCATCAATGGCACCCCTGCGCATATCCCTTCCTGGATCCCATTCGCCCCACAGTGGGTCAAGAACCCTCCAACTGAAGGGTGTGAGAGTATCAGAACTTGGGGAGCCCACCCCCAAATCAGAACCCCTCTCCCTTGGATTCGATTTTCGAACGCGTTTTCAGAAACCCATTTCTCCAATTCCTCTGAATTCTGCCCTTTCCTGATTGCCCATATGAATGGCCTTTTCGAGGCCTCTAAACCCAGCGCCAGCTCTATCAATTGACTGGGTATCAAGTTGCAGAGGCTTCCAAAACAGACGTAGAGAACGGAGTTTGGTTTCTGCGAATCGAGCCAGGTCAAACACGAGTGCTCATCAATGGCGGATTTCTTCCCTCTCTCTGCCTTGTCCGCGGTCTCTGCGTTGCAGAGCGAAACAGGGCCCACGCACCATACTCTGCGTCTCTTGTTTTTCAAAGCCTCCACGTATTTGGGTTCCATTTCTTCGAAAGTGTTCAGAACAATCCCGTATGATGACATTTCAGCTCTTCCCAAGAGAATTTGAAATTCTTCGAGATTTTGAGGAATTGGGGGTGGGGCTCGTGATTTGCTGATTTCGATTCGATCGGGAAGGCCTGGAACTACGAAATTCTCCTCTTCGTTTTGCTGGGTGTGGAGGAGGAGGTGAGAATTATGCATCACCAAACTGTAAAAACAGTTGAAAACGTAGAAGGAGATTCTGGGTATGTTGAATTTGCGGGCAATTTTCATTGTGAAGGGTAAACAGCCGTCGGAGATTATGCAATTTGGGGGTGGTGAGAGGGTTTCGAATAGTTTCTCGACAGGGTCTTGGAGGAAGGTGGTGGCGGCCATGAATTCCATCGCCGGTACCGACGGCGGAAGCTGGTCTTGATTCTCGGTCCCTTCCGGCAAACCGGCTTCCTTCCAGGGGAACTGGATCTTGATGATGCTGATTCTGAGGCCGAGTGAGTCTCTGTCGCGGTGGATTATGGTTTCGAACCGGGAGGCGTTGTGGGGCGTTGTGATGAGCGTGACGATCACGCGCCGCCGTGCCAGGACGCGCCCGAAGTCCACCATTGGGATCATGTGGCCTTGCGCCATGAATGGGAACAGAACGAAGTGGAGCTCACCCGCCATACCTGCAGGATTCATTAACAATTAACAGCAGACGGTAACGAGAATTAGAATCCAAACGATACGATTTAACTCTCATGGAATATGGACTGGAAGTATCTACTACAAAATAATAATAATACCCGAAAAAAAAAGCATGTAAATTGTTAATAAATCAAGATATCCTAAAGGAATGATAATTCATAAAAGAAAATTTCTTACACAAACCAAAATCTCAAGGAAACCAAAAAGGGTCCCAAAAGGAATAATTTTGAAAAAAAGAATCTCTTGAGAAATTTGTTTTTAATCTCTCTCTCAAAACAAAGGTATCCAAACGAATGCTTAAAACAAAACTCTCTCATGACCAAGGAGCAAGGGGAGCTCCATTTCCAAAAATATGAATGATATTACCGAGGACAAAATAAATAAATCGAAATTAACCGACCCAATCCAACGACAATCTAACCCAAATCGTTTTGAGTTCAGATCGGTTGGATTTTTTCTAAAAATCGACCCGACCCGAAATAGGCAGCTCATGAAGCGACAAAGATAGCATTTGGTTGGAAGAGACCCCAACCTCTGTTAGATCGTGTTCTCGTAGAAGATTTAGGACACATCCTAGGTTTGGGGGTTAATTTATGTTGAACTTGTTTGTTGTCAAACAAAAAAAGGGCAAAAAAGCTCTCACGTTGGAATTTTGGAAAACCATGCATGTGAAACACGTTTAGGAAATAAATTCCAAGAAACAAGCGTGCGTGAAAGTCGTGCGACCTATTTGTTTATTTATTTAATTTTAGTGGAAAGGCAGGATTTATTTATCCCAACCCTTTTAAAAAACACTTGAAGAATAAAAGCAATGTTTGTAACCATAAATTTTGAATTTCAATCACATTAGACTTTAATTTTTAGTTTAAATACTATTTTAGTGTGGTAGCTTTTGTTCATTTTCGGTCTATATTGTTTTTTTTTGGTTCAAAATGTCCTTTTTTTACTTGTATAGTTTTTAAAATTGGTCATTTTGGTCCCTTTTTACAGAAATTTGACACAAATTCTATACCTAATATAAATTCATGACTATATTTCAAGAATTTTATTGATCGTAATATACTGAAAAAATGAGATAAAATCAAAATGCTAATTTTTTTTAAAGTACATGGATCGAAACACACGTTTAAATTTGTGAATACTCGAATATCTTTTAAGTAGTTGATTTTATGCCTTAATCGAGATTAATTTTGTATCAGGTTTGATTGTTTATTTATTTTAGTTAAAATTAGTAAGTTTTGGAATATTTCAATTTGCTTTTGTTCAAATTAATCCTTTTTTTTTCTTTAACGTCTTGTAATATTTATCTAAGATTCAATGAGTTGAAATTGAAAGTCTACCGTTGTTTTTTTCCCCTTCAAACCTACTTTTAATAAACTTTTCTTTAACCTACTTTTAATAAACTTTTCTTTATTAGCTGTTTCACGAACGGAGATGCCTTTTATATATATATATATATATAATTTAAATTGTTTTATACCATCTTGTTTAAATTCATCATTAAATCAAATTAAGAATAATAAGTTAGCATTTTAATTAAGTGTAATGTTGATTGACGAATGTTAATTTTGATATTAAAAATTAAAAATTAGTGTAATTAATTATTGGTTTAAATGATGTTTGTATATCCTTAATTTCAATAATCATTTTTGTTTTTTAGTTTTCTATTTTTCAAAATTTAGCTTATAAACACTACTTACACAATTACACCAATAATTTATTCTTTTGCTTTTTTTATCTATTTTTTAAAAACATTTTCAAAATCTAAATTAAATTTTAAAAACTACAAACATTATTTTAAGAGTTTATTTTAGTTTTGACATTTGACTAAAATTTAAACGTGTTTATAAAAACAAGGGTGAAAAACAATAGGTAAGAAATTGAGAGGAAATAGCATAATGTTTTGAAAGCCAAAACTTTTAAGATATGTTATTTTAGTCCTTATCGGGTAAGAAATGAAAATTTTTTTGCAAAGGGTAGAAAACTCACGATAATGTTTTAATAAAACAATTTTTTAAGAAGAAAGCTTCCTTAATACTTGCTTATTGATTATAAAGTTATTTCTTGCTTAATCACGAACTATAAATTATCAACCTAACATAACTCATCCCTATAAAGTACTGCAAAAAAATCACAAACAGTCAATTTTAAAAGATTTTTTTATGTTATCATTAGATAGGCACCCATCAAATTTTTCAGTCTCTTGGTAAATGGGAGAAGAGTTTGATTTTATTTTATTTTATTTTTAAAGTGAAATATTTCACCCAAACAGTTCTATAAATGTACTATTATACATATGATTGAGTGGTGCATGCTATATAGTATGATACTATCTAATTTCCTCTAATAGCACAATCAGATTAGTGTCACGTCCAAAGTACCAAGACTGCTTATTTCTCTAAAACAGTAAAAAGACAAGACCTCTTGAACTCGATCATACTCTTTCCCTTTGCCAGTAAGACTTTATTTACCCTTTCCTTTGTAAATTCAACACACACTATAACTAAATTAAAATAAAAGGAAAAAGAAACATATTTACGTTGCATGTATAATGAATGCTTAATAAGAGATCAAATTATCTCTCTCTCTCGATCAAAAAAGAGAAGTTGGAATCCTCACTCTCACGAAGTTAATAATAATAATAAATCATCTCTGCCAAATTCCCCAAGAAAAATTCCAGCAATTTTCCAAATTCCCTAATCAGAATCCCTAATTTTGCGTATTTCCTGGATCAACAACGAGATGTTAAGGAAAGAAGAGCCACCCTCTCCCACAGCTTTCTTCGCCAATTCCCCAAACTGTGCAGCCCTCTTTCTCCGGCTCTCCGCTTCTTCTCCTTCCCCCATCACCTCTTCAATGGCTTCCCTAACATC